CAATAAGGCTGTATACCTAGTGCCAAGTTTACTGGCTAGCTTTGCAGCTTCAGTTTCGGATTTGCAGTTTCTGACTCTGTAAGCATCCTGACGATGCTGCTGTGAGGTCCTCCTTGGCCACTGGTCTCTGTCAAAACCACTGTAGTCTTTGTGCTCTCCAAAGCCACCAGGAAAGAATTTGTAGCAGTGGGAACATCCTCTGTTAGCAGAATGGCTGAGAAATCCACATAGTTTCCGTGCAGCAGGGATGTCAGCAGCACAACATAAAAGAGCTGCACGAACCTCTACTGAGGTTGATGGACTGTTACAAGTGTTAACCTTAACACCTATCCAGAGGGCTTTCAGTTCATTGATTGCAGGCTCCAGAAAGTGGTTAAGAGACTTGGGCTCATGAGCAAGAGCTGGAATGATACCAACCAAAATAACATTTTCTTTTTTAAATCTAATGTTTCTTGGCAGATTCATCAATACCATGTATATTACACCAACCGAATAATCATTCCGATGTTTAAATGGTTGAAACCAGTCAACGTTCAACATAAGACCAAATGATCGAGACAGGTTGAGAAATTCCTTTGTGCCCTTCCAGTTGCCAAACTTTTTCCAAACTTTGCCATCGTAAACATCTGCATACAAGTCATCATCTCTAGCTCTGTTTCTCCACTTTTCACACTGTTCCTCAAGACCAGGGCGTTTCAGTAAGGCTTCTAGTGACTCGATGATGCTCTTGTAGCAGTACGTCTTAAGAGCATAGAACTTAGTTTTTCCATTCTTTAAAGTTACCTTGTTAGCAAGCTGTGCTTCACAAATCTTACGCCGCCTTCCTTGTGGAAACGGAATATTGTTACAAGTCCTTGCAACAGTTCGGTGACCCTCATTGATAACAACTTCATCCATCTGATAGAGTTTCGTACATTTGGGACAGACAACATACTGCTGAAAGTTGTCCCGATCAATTTTCAACAGCTTTCTTGCTGAGTACAGGGAAGTTGGAATATTAGTGGCAAGAACAATACACAACTCTGTGTGGTCCTTGATCAGCTCCCCAATGCAAAACAGTAACTGTTGCACAAACTTCAGCAACTGTTCAATGGCATTGTCACTAACATAGTTCTTGTACTGCCATGCCAAAACAAAATAAACAATCCAGGTCAGAATTACTCGGGTACGTTGCTGATTGGTACTCATTGGAGAAGGCTGAAGCAATTCTACTTCCTCTGGCTGCAGCATATCTTCTATATCACTGGAATCAGAATCTGCATAATCCGTGCCTTCTTCACTACAGCTCTGCCCCTCATCGGAACTACCAAGTTCAGACTTGTCAGACTCCAGTGAATCCTTTCATTAAGAAAAATAATAAAGTCAAAGGTTATGTATGATAGTAAACACTTACACAATGTAGTTGCAACCGACTACATTCATCTCGTATGACTTAATTTTACATAATTGTATTGACAAAACAATTTTTTTAGAAAACAAAAACCTCTAAAAGCCATTTTGAACATAATCTTGAATATCATAATCTTGTCTTGATCATACAGTGTAGTCAGCACTTAGCACTGCAAAATGTCTTTTCGTGAAAGAGGGCCCACAAATTGCCTTTTAAGTGATTTGAAATTTTTAAGTAAAATGAGTTAAACTTTAGACCTGAACTGATGCCTTCAATTAGAAAGTAAAAAAAGGTGAACAAAGTATGTGTAAGTATATACATTGTAAAGTAATCTTGAATTAACATTATCACAGTATTCCACCGGTTTTGCCATTCAAGAATCTTGCTTATCTTGGGCATTGACATCTTAGGCCCGAGTCAAATGCCAAACTTCACATGAGCCGAAAAAAATTCCATTATCAAGGTAGAAGAACTACAGTCGAGTATAAGGTCAAAAATAAACCACACCTAAAAATTCAGTTGTTCAAAAGATATTTTAGAGTTTAGAACAAATGCAAGATGTGGGTTTGTTTTCAGCTAGGAGCGGAGAAAATAAAGGCCGAAATTGGTTACTACGGGCACCTTTTTGCGATGTTAATAATAAGCGGTCTGCAATCCAAGTCGATAATTGACCTGGCATCGACATCTATATTACACGAACTCATTTTTCGGCATGCGATCCTGCCTTCGCAGTTCTAACGAAATTGTAGAAAAAACTGGGAATATTTCTTTGGTATAACAATCTTCAGGAATGTTCACCATGTTTGTTTGGGAATTTAAACGCCGACTTTTATCTAAAATTAAGTAGGACTAACAACACATAAGATTGGCATTTGACACAATTCAGCCAATCTGAAGTAATCTGGGTCGGCCCTAAAAACTAGTCAATAATTTGATTTGGCTCATGTGGAGTACAATGTTTGACCAGGGCCTTAAAGCTTATGAAAAGATGTACAGCTTACTAGATCCCACACATAAATACACATGCATGAATACATATAACTTTCAGTGAAACTGTACCTGTTGAGCTGCATCGCGAGTTTCTGAACCATCCCAATTGTCTGTGAAGTACAAGAGAGGAACCATATTTAGTTTTTATATTTGTCACTCAAACTTTAAGACTTTCTTGTTCTTTCTTGTGTTGTCATTGAATTCATTGTGTGCCCAAAAATTTCTACATGTTTAACTCCACCCTCTTAGACTGGAGGATCTGAGAACAAAAGTTAAATACGTACAATGTATTTTCTGCAGTTTTGAGTTTCAAGTTTTCCATATTCATTTAAAAATGATTCTTAATAAAGCAATTCATATTTTTTTCTAAACAGTAGTCATCCATAGGATACTTGGATGCCCATCTGGCTGAAAACCTGTTAAACAGAAGAATCCCACAATCTTTTTATTCCTGAAGTTACTGGTACATGATCATAAATACACATTGTATATGATCAGTAATGATTTAATACTGTCATTGATTTGGCATATCTATGGATCAGGAAATTTACTCTCTTGACTGTTCAATAACACCTCCTTTTCCAAGTGTCTGACTCAAGTCAACAATATTTTTTCTCAAAGAAATAAATAAAAATAAATACACACAGGTAAGGAGTCCTTACCGGAATCAATCCCAGAAAGATCTTCTACATGTACAGATGGCTCATAGGATGAATCCATGTTTCCATCTATTTTACAAGATAAATTATATAGTTCAGTTATTAATTTATACATGTATTTTCTACCCTAAGTTACACCAAAAAGCCATTGATATACAGACAGCTGTAACTATAAATTTTTTCCTTTGTTTCTAACAGTTTGAGTCATTTTTTCAGTAGATTATAGAAATTTCCACCAATTTAAAATAATTATTATAGAAGCCAATTAGGTTCATTTAATGACCTACATTGTAAGAATGATCAGTATTTCTTTTCATCTACAACTAACAGCATCAATTATTGTGAAAGCAGAAAGGTTTGAGGATAATACGAATTGGCATTGCTGCACTGAGTTGGATTCCTGGCTTCTCATGTGCAGTCTGTATGCTTCTTAAACACATTTAATTTAACAATTCACCAAGTTAAAACAAAGAAAATCATAACTGCGAAGGAAGTTTGGATACCCAGGTCTTAATTATTTTGCTGTCAAACACTCCAAACAGTGTTTCATTGCCTATCCAAACACTTGGTATTTCGTCAAAAATACCCCGCCACGCATCACATTTTTAACTCTCTTCTCTTTATTTGGATATCTTGATGAAACACTGTCTCTGGTGTTTGATGTATTTATTATTACATGAAAAAACTCAATTTTGCTGTGTGGCAAACTTTAACATTGTGTTCATCTTGCTGGTATACACACAAACAAACAAACAACTAAACAAAAATTTGGCTGTGAAGCAGAAATGCAGAAGATAAGGAAACCAGAAGTGAAATTGCACAGATTACATGACAACTATTGAGCTTGGTGAGGAGGAACGGGGTAGCAGGCCCTTAACCATGCAGCAGGAAAAACTTATCCTGAAAGACCAGACAGGACTTCTTTAAGCCTTGTTTCCAGTAGACAAACAAACACATAATGCACTGCATGAAAACCATGTTATTTTGGTCTGAATTTTATTTGTTTGGAATACCAATCAGTCAGAATCAATTTGCTTGTAAGCCATTAAATGAAACAAACCTGGCGTAAAAAGAATAATTATGTATTTCTTACAATAACTATGTGTTTACATGTACTCTACCATCCTTCAACTCTCACATGACTCTCATTCTTGTTTGGCTTATACAAAATTAAATAGAAATTCAAAATAAAAAGAAACCTGACGTGCATGTCAAGGATAGACCTGATTAATTTTGGGGTCGTTTGCTAATCAAAGATCTTACAGGTTTTTATTACAATTTTTTTGACAAATGCGCTGTTGTTTTCACATGTAAATGACAAGAGTCATTAACATGTGAAATCAAAACACACACCAAGACTTTTTTTAATAGCTTAGCTTTGAATGCTTCGAATGCACGCAGTCACATGTACCCATAGCTTACCTTCGCTATCACTTGAGCTTGATCCAGGGACATCTGGTATAGGCATAGATGCTTTAACTATCGTTAGATCGGCCACGGTTTTCCATTCTTTGAGTACTGGATTGAAGTACCGTTTACGATGCTCGTGGTACTGTGAATTGCTAAGTAATTGCTGACAGTGAGGACATCGTTGTCTACACCTTGATCGCCTCTTTTTACCACTTGTTTCGCCGTGTAAACCTTTTCTTTTCATTCTTTGCGATACTCCTGTGTTCTATAACCTAATATACCAATATAAATAACCAAAAACTTGACGAAAACTCTCTCCTCAAACGTGTGAATTCTCGTAAATCTATCTCTTTTCGGCGACGCATGCCGCTGCGGGCTCAGCAAACGGGTTTGTTGCCATTGACGACAATTGTCTGGTGACTGCGTCAAACTGGAGACGAGGCGGGAAATTTGCATTGTCTGGGCATTTGTCAAGTTGCGCGTGATTTCCAGTCGTCGTTCTACTGTGTGTTTCCAATTTTTTCTCAGTTTTACTCTAACTCAGCAAAACCATGGAATCAGCCAACGCAGAAATGGAAGACAGAACAGTGCTTAGTGAAGAAACCCCGAGAGCTGCCCTGGAAGATCGAGATCTCTTGAGGCGATTGCTGGCCGAAGTTTCGGTGATCCGCAAAGAAAATCAGAAACTGAAAAGTCAAGTAACGAATCTTACGACAAAAACGAGAAGGCAACTCTTTGAGAAGTCCAAAGACAAAGATCCTGAGTGTTCGGTAAGTAATTTTGTCTTCTTTCTGGCTAAGCAACTTCGAAGTTACGGTCAAATATGAGCGTAAGGAATCACAAGACGGTTTACCATGTGTTGAAAATAGGTGTGAAGTTTGTGTTACGTATGCTAACGGTAAGCTTAATAATTCCTTCATTGGTTAGCTGAAATCTTATCGTTAAAAGCAAATCAATCATTTTAAAAACTCGTCCAAGAAACAGTCAAAAATTTGGTTAACAAAGTGCGGCTGATCGAAGAGACTGAGAGTGACAGTGTTGTAAACGTTTGCCAAATTGCCCCTCTTGTTGGCGACACGCGCGAGCGAACAGCGAACACCGTCGCGCGCGGTGAGGCGGAAAAAAGTTGATCCACATTCAAATTTTTCCGCAGACGTATGTCGTCGATGCCTTTGCTTTATTTTACTTTACGCACGTAAAGCCATGTTACACGCATTAATGTACTTAAAACTATGTGACAGTGAAAATCCAGACTCATTCACCTCGTACCGACGGGTTATGTAAGCTAAGTTCACGGACATGAAATTGGCTGGCTTTACATGTGTAAAATAAATAGCCGATTGTCGGCTAGTGTGCAACAAGTTGTCTTAATCCACCGCACAGTAGCCAACAACTAGGCCCGACAAGACATTTTCCAAACTAGCACAGCCAGGTAACAAGTCCCGATCTTGTTGCAGACTTGTTTGAATTCCCTGCAAGTAGGCCGACGAAAAATCAGCTAGTGTGCGGCAAGCTGATGAGCTGAAAAATTTGACACCGATAAAAATCTATTTTTGTTCGGCAAAATATCGACTAGTGTGCGGGGGCCGTAAACTACAGCGAATATTTGGACGGATTACGTCTGCGGAAAAAGTTTATCCACATATTGACCACATTGAACGTTTTCCGCAGACCATAAATTTACTCTATTTTATTTTAATGGGAACCTCGGCAATTGAGGCGAGCTGACGACGAGTTGCGCGAAATATTTTACAAAATTCCTAAATTACAAATTTTACTCGACAAAGGGAATACAACAAAATAAAAGGAAGAAGAAACGGACGCCAATCTTATTGCTAGAAAATGCAGTGACGTCATATAATCCAAGATGGCGGTGCGCGGGAAATTTTAAAGTGATTTATTCCGTTTATTATCGTTGTTTCATTGCTATGTTTTCCTTTACTCGCCGGGTAAAATTTGTAATCCAGACATAATTTCAATCAACTGCAGGCCAACTCGCCCCAACAGCCGAAGTTTCTTTAGAACATTTCCATTATCGCTATCGCGGCTTTCAACTTTTTCCGAAGGCGCGAGACGTACGTACGTTTGCTCTATTTTATATTAAGCAAGTAAACTAACTTTTAAAAGCTGAAGTATTGAGCTGCTTCCACAGAGCAAAGTCACTTAGATCACTTTGCTCGGATCCGAGGAGGAAGTTACGTTAAAAGCGACAGCTTTTTAAAAGTCCCAATTCGCTATGGCATTTTTTAAATTAATTTTGCTTTTATGAACTTCCAGCTAATAATCAACTTGCTGTTTTTAGTTTGTTTTGACATTGTTTTTTTTATTTATTTTACAAAAATACAAGAATGCTGCCAGGAAAGTGTGCAAGGAACTAACAAAGGGTGAAGGACAAGAAGAAGATCAGGAGAATCAGCTTAACTTTGATTTGAGCGTCAGGTAAAACAAACCGGAGCTAATGTATAGTTACAGCTGAGGTGTAGTAGGCCGGCTACAATAGCTATTCGCTTTTTCCTCGACTTCAAAAAGAGTTGACCTGTTGTGTGGCGACGATGGAGGAGCTTTTAGTTATTGTTAAACAAGATATTAGGCCATGCTAGCTTGCAACGTAAAAATAACTAAGTGAATTTTATACTTGTGGGCAACACATAGTGTAGGTAGTGCATGCATGCAATTAAGCAAGGACATTACGAGTGTGCTCTCTTTCCTTGGGTTATTATAAAATAAACAAAATTTCTCGACAGGGAAACAATAGGCTCGCCATGGTCTAAAGCAAAACAAACAACAATCGGATAAATAATTCGAAAACTTATCTCATTGGCTTTTTGATTGTTGCACTAAATTACCTGCCGTTATGATTGGCTATACAGTATGTGATCGCTTCTATTTAGTTTTGCTCTTACACCTTTAATTTAGCTGAGTAAAATTCTTAAATTGATATCTTATACCTTTTTCAGTTTTAATAGCCCAGAAAATAAGACTATGGCTAGGAGAGTGCTAAAAGAAGTCCGCTCAGTGTACGGCAAGGACAAGTGGACAAAGGCTGTCATTAAGAGTAAGTTGGTTTTTTAGCACAAGCAAGAAATACCCGTTGGTTTCCTTTTTTTCGCTTTTTGCAATACTACTCTACGTTTAGGGTTAGCGTATATTAGCACAGTAAACTGACTTGAGTGCAATTATTTGGGATGATCCGAGATTACTCGGATCATGGTCAAATCCACTCTGAACAAGGATTCACCAGTTCCTTTGATGCACAGTGATCCTAATGGTCTCGGATCACCAATCTTGATCCGGATCATCCCATAGAAACTAACTGTATAGCTACTTAAATGAAATACGTATTTTACCAGTAAAGATAGAGAACGCCTTCAGAACTGCAAGCGCGTGCTTGCTGCTGTTTAAACTTTTTGTCGTTCTGTGCTAGTTAAATGAAACGGTCATGCTCTTAGTTATTTTTGATGAAACGTGACAGTAATGAACAGCACTGTTTCATTTTTAGGCGCGGTTCATCAATACTGGAAATCTCTTCGGGATGACAGAACAAGAAAAACAAATAAAAAGTTTGAAGAACATCGAAGTCAAATGAAGCAACAAAATCGATTAAAGAGAGTAAGTATCAGATTGAGAACCATATAAGCAAATGTTCAGGAATGTTGAGCTTGATCCTTGCTATGCAACATCGCGTTACAGCTATTTCTAATAAATGAATCCCTGTATTCGAGCTCTTTTCTATGGTTTAACACGATAAATACATATTTTGTCCTTGATAACATGTCATTTAATTAATTGTGTTGCTTTGTCAAAGAAACTTATCAATTTTTATATATACACTTTGTTTTGTATAATACTCACAATTTAAGTTGAAAAAGAAAAGTGTAATCTTTACCAGAGGGAAGTACATGTATATCTTGTAACAGCAAGGTGTCATTGGTGATAGCCAAAGTGCTCCTTGCGCATATTTTGACACTTTTGTTCTCTGTTTATATCGTTTAGAAACTATCAAGACGCCTTTCAAGCTTAGAGAAGGCTATCTTGTCGGACAACGACAAAGAAAAGGCAAGAGAAATTTTCTGTTCGCCAAATGCCATCGACTTCATGTCATCGGAAGAAAGCGACAACGATGATCCTGCTTCATCTAGGGGTCCGAAACCAAGGAAAGTACGTAAACTGGTGTGGGAGAAAAGCAAACTGAAGAATTTGAAAGCAAAACTGGACGAGGCCTATTTGGAAGGACTTAGCGAAAAGCAGCGTCGTGCAAGTGCACGTTTGACCAGAACCGAAGAGCCATCTGTACGGCCTTGCCCCACCAATGGCCCTCGTTGGGCAATTCGTACCGAATAATTGGACTGAGAGGTTCCTAAGAATAGACATTATTTTAGAAAACGCTATAAAGACGTTCATTGTTCTTGGCAAACTTTATGCCTGTTTTCATTTATAGTGCTCAGAACAGCCATTGTAACATTTGTTCAAAAGTAATTTGGAATGCGATTTGTTAAATGATGAAAAGTTTTCTTTCCCAGTCTGACATAGAGACCAAAGTAGATGTATATACTACAAGTATTTTGCGAATAGTAGGCTCTGTAATGAATTGAAGCTCTATTTAACTACAACCTTATCTTATGGAAGAAAAATAAATGACGCTTTGGCAAAATATAGCTGTAGTATTTCTTTGACTGAAGGGGAAAACGCCATAAGAGGTGTTCTGTAAATTAATTAATAAGACTTTCCACCTACCATGAACATTATATGGGTGCGTTTCGGAAATAAAGAGGGAAAAAAAGGTTTACCAAAGCTAGGAAGTTTCCGCAAGGGTAAGATAAATTTGAATTAACACGTTTCCGAGACGTAAGCTGTAGCGGAAACATGAAACAGACCTCAGTTTCCGGAACGGTTTCTTGTGTTTCCGCAGGTTCCATCACCCATTCAGTAGCCCGGAATACGTCAACGGAAACATGGAAAAGACATGTTTCCGCAACGTTTTCTTGTGTTTCCGCAAATGTAAACCCGAAATTACGATTGCGGAAACATTTGTTTCCATTAGCTGAAACTTGACGGAAACATGCACAAAAAGTGGTCCGGTTCCGTTGTATACGCAGCAACGGAAACGCGAGAAAACGTCACGAAACCGGTAACGGAAACACAGGTTATCCGTCGTGTTTCCGGAACGGTTTAACATGTTTCTGCCACGTTTCCGTTTACGGATTCTTGCAATTTCGTCCTGTGTCAGAAACCACGTGTATCATATATTTGACTCTGTTGTCAACAACGAGAGAAGGAATATGGCTGGTTGTCATGGTGATCAGCTGGATATAATTTTTAACCTTTTTGTAATTTGATTGGTTAATGGACTTTCCGGGACTAAAGAAGGACCTTCAAAATCGGTGCTGGAAATGCACAATATGACCTGCTATGATAGCTCTTTCGTACCCCAAAACACTGACATAAAATTCTAATAAAATTTCTGTGTAATGGCAGTATAATTTGAATTTGCGCAAATGAAGGGTGACGTGATATTTTCTGCATTTGTAATTGTTATCAAAACATATACAGATGTGAAAAAAACTCTACAATTTAGCATTTTTTGGCCGGACACGAATAATTCTTATAAAAATATCTCTACTCTTAGACTCTAAGCTCAGGGTTCTCTGAAATAACACAGAAAAATGGACGTCACCTGCCCTTCGAAGCTTGCAGAAATACCAGGCAATTAGCAAAATGACAATCGCTGCCGCCACTGATCCACCAATGTAAAACCACAAAGTGTTGAAACTTTGCATAGCTCGTGGCACTTGCTTCGCTAATTGTGTAAGATAAATATATGGCCATTAGACAAATCTCGACGGTAGTAAAAGTACTGATAAAATTCGAGTTGTTTGGAATAGCTTTGAAATAGCTTAGCACATTCTTTAACCCTTGATTGACACCTGCTCTTAGAAGCAAAATAACTGAAATTCACAGAGCGATGCAAGGTAATTTCATGCAAATGGGCCAGGTGACCCACATTTGTTTCGTCTTTAACTGAAAAATAGTTTTAATCTGTTTGGAAATATATTTTTCAATTAGTAAAGTTTTATGCCTTTTAAGGACACAACAGTAACACCAGCTTACCTTTGATGTTTATTTTTACAAAGGAACGGTCAACAAAACCGAGCTTGTTACGTCCCTCGCAAGAATACACACCACTGTCCTCCTTCACAACTTCAGTTACAACAAATGTACTCTTTTTGTCATCGAATCGTGTATCAATCTTTGCTCTTTCAGGTGGCGAGTCTCCATCTTTTTTCCAAGTTACATTTATTGTTTCTTCGTTGACGTTGCAGGTCAACGTGAGGTTGTCTCCTGCTGTGATTGCTGGATACTGATCTGGAAAAACTTGAACAGAGGCTTTTCCTGCGTTAAGAAAAAGGCAACTGATTAAAATCCTGGTCCACATTTGTCACCCTCATCGTCAGCATCAGTTCAGCGTCGGCATCATCGTCAAAGTCAGCGTCATCGTTATCGTTATCGTCATCATTATCGTCATTATCATTAAACTTACCGTATACACGCAGTGTTGCAGAGGAACTAGTTGTATTTGCTTTATTTTTCGCTTCACACTTGTAAGTCCCTTCCATCCCTTTTGTGACGCTTAAAAATTCCAGGAATGATTCTCCTTTGTCATTGAATTGATTGATACCAGATGGCAGGTCACCATTATTAAAAACCCAGACTAATGTTGGTGTTGGCACACCTGTGGCTCGGCAACTAAAGTTCACAGAGTTTCCCTCAGTAACAGACTGGTTTATCGGAGGCTCTATAATCTGTGGAAATACTTCAATAAAAAAAAATCCAAAATTAATAAGGTTTGTATAATCCACTTTAACCCCATTTATCTAACCTTTGATAAAACGACGAAACAACAACAACAACAAAATCAAAACAAGAAACGCGATGTTCAAGTCTATTTTTAACCAAGGTCAATTTTTTTTTAAAAAGGTTTTCTTCGCGTTCAGAATAAAAAAAAGATATTGTTTTGCCATAAGTTGTCCCAGTTGTGCCAATAACCTTCATTTTTTTTAACTCGTGAATTGCGCGTAAACAGATTCCTGTAAACTTTTTTTCGATTTTAGGCTTTTGAGTGCATTTGATAGTTTTTGGCGAGCAATAAAAAAACGGAATAGCGACCTTTGTTGCTAAGAATAGTGGTGGGGTGAAAAAGAAGCCAATGATAATCTTAAAGGAGTTTTTTTTCGTTTTAGTTTCAACAAGCGGCGCCAGCGACTGGCAGGCATGCAAAGATTCACACTGAAATAACAGACAACCTTCGTTTTTCATAAAATTGTAATTTATAATCCTTGAACTTGAAAACAATCCGAAGATTCCTTGAAAATATCACTTACTGCGAAGCGCTCGGAGTTTACAGATGTTCAAAAGCTTTTTCTGTTATGGCGTGAGTTGAGGACAAAATTTGTTTTTCCTGTGTGAAGCAACAAAAGGTGCCGGGGACTGACGAAATTACAAGTTAACACGAAAATCAAATAACACCTAAACAAACAATTTTAGCTACCGATTTTCAGTGAATTTTTAAAGAACAATTTTCTTTTAAGTTTCAAGACAATTTGAAGATTCAAAATACATTTTATGTACTAAAATGCGAAAGTTATACACCACAAAATTGATAAACAGGCCTGAAATGAAATTCTATCTTGTTATTGATTATACGTTGCCTAGCACGTGACTAAAATCTACCCAGGCGGAGATCCAAAATGACGGTGACAGTCTTGGCTTAGTTATATCACTCAAAACTCGTTCCCGTTTGTCTCATTTGATAAAGAGGGAATCTTTAATGTTTTCATTAAGACAGTATTGCCTTGATTTTCTAATATTTACAATGATAGACAGTAAATTTCACTTTTCACACACATTTACTTTCAACCTTTTCTTTTGAACCAGAAAAAAAATGATATACGTTTAAAACACATGACATCATCCACCCTTGTCAAATGTAATAGCATGATCATTTCAACTGTAATGCCTTCTTATCCCCACGTTACTTTGTTTCTTTGCTACATTAGCGAACACTGAACTACTGCTCGTACTCTAGATATGACAATCAACCACAAAATTCCCTAAACCAGATAACATAATCCAAAAAATCATGTGTCAATTCCCGAGTTTGCTCATAGAGCAATTTGATCTTTCTGGTTGTTGAGTGTGATGTTAAAAACCTATATGTTTAATGACTATCAGTTTTATTTTTTTTAGCAGTATATATTGAATTTGAAAAGTCATTAGGCAATGATGATCAAAACAATGTGAAACATTTGCATTCTGTGATAAAAAAAAAGGAAATCTGTTATTTGACGTCTCCAAATTGAGTATTTTGACATGCGTCCAAGGATAAAAATGTTAGAGTGGACCACAGGATTTGGAATTCCTTAATAGCGGGAGGTGTTTTTAATCATTTCTTTGGTTACGGATTTATCTTCATTTACAATCTGTGTGTCTGTAAGTCAGAATCAACTCTAAGTCACCAGGAAATGGATGAAAAGAGAAAAAAATAGGTCTATTTAAATTTGGCTTAAACTTTAAAACTAACGCTCTGTTAAGTTACAAGTTTGATAAATGACATAAACTACAATTTTGGGTTTACCTGTGACATCGATCCAGAAGGAAGAGTTTGCTTCGCCATAATCATTTTTAGCAGTACATTCATAATAGCCTTTATCTTTAAACGTCGCTTGTCTTATAACCAAGGTGTTGTTTTTACTAATTAGCACTCCATCCTTGGTCCAGTAGACAGATACTTGTGGGTCACCTCTGAAATAACACTCTCTAATAAAAGGGTAGTCAAATTCAATGGTGAGATTTCTAGACTCATCACGAACATGGGGTGGAACTGCAAAGTAAGCATGTAAACACAAATTACAAAATAAGAAGCCACCCAACCTTCCGCCCCCTCCCCCACCCCCAAAAAAAAAAAAAAAATTACAATTATAAAAAACATTAAAAAAGAAGGAGAAGAAGACAACGAGCCACTTTTTTACCATATCAAACAAATCCATCCAAAAACCATGTCAGTCAGGCTATATTACTAACTTAGCCATGATATCATCAAATTATTATAGCGGGAACAAAGGAACAATTATAAAGACCTTCCAATTCTTCGCAATAAATAACTAAGGAAGCGTTCTGAAAAAATTATTCATCCAGGACCTGGTCCTCACTGGTGATTCAGTCGCAGATAATAGCTGAAAGCCCTTGCATTTTTTAAAATCTTTCTGATAGTTTTCTACAATTACCTTACCCTTGGCTCAGACCCAGAAACCTTGATCTAGAGTCAGGCCCACTGGCTATTGATTCGCTTTCCGTAGGCATATCAAATGCATGATTGATTTATAATACAGTTGAGCTTTACAAACACACCCTTTACAGAAATGTCAATGTCTTTGGTAGAATTTCCTGCTTCATTCTCTGCCTTACAAGTGTACCGCCCTTCGTCCTCCTTTGTTATCTTAGAAAAGAAGAGAGACAAACTCTCTCTTTGCAATGTATTATTCTTGAGCCAGGTGATCCGTGGTTCAGGCCGACCTTCCACAACTTTACACGTCAAGTTTACATTGCTTCCTTCTATGATGAGATTGCTTGCTCCAGAAATACAAACTTTTGGTCGAACTTAAAGGTAAATAAATAACATATTACTGGAAAATCGGAGGTGTTACTATATCATTTACATTGAACACATTAGACGCAGTAACTAAATGAACATTTGATGATGACAGTAGCGCTTAATATGAAGTATAATCGTTTGTCAGATCGCGAACCTTTCGAACTTCGTATTGAGGTCTACATACTCCTATTATCTCGGACCACCAGTCTACGTAAGACAGAAGGCGCAGCCATAGGAAGTATGGTCTCCGCCGTTATTGCTAATCTCCACATATAGAGTTATAGGAGCAATCGATAACCTTATCATCTTACCAGCGAAGGATCTGGAAACGTTATGCATATGACACATTCACAATCTTGGTTCGCGAAAACGCTGATGGCTTCCTACAGCATTTGAAGAACCGAGAGCATCTCATTCACTTCACTGATGTTACAAATAGTAACAACACACCCGCCATCCATGGCACTGCATCTTTAAAACAAGAGCCCGTGGTTTACAAGATTCCATGTGAGTGCGGCAAAGTTTAGATCGGCGGAGCAGGCAGACCTATGGAAGTAAGGTTCAACGAGCAATATGGCAGATCGAGAAACGACATGCTAAGACAAAGGCCTCTGCAGTTTCAGGAGACACGTGGAAACCACCTGCTCTGGACTGAGGTAGAGTATATTGATAGTGATCCTGTTATTATTAAACGCAGGGTAAAAGAGGCCATCCACATGAGACTGTTACAGCATAAATTGGACATTGGGATAGACATCCCAAAAATATGAATGCTGACCACAAGAAACACAAAAACAGGATAACTTTGCGACAGTGGACTCCGGAAGAACATTTGGTCAAAGTGTGCCAATCGAAACCTGTGTGGGATTCCAGTCAATCACAGCCAAACAGAGAGTTTCATAAGGTCATGCATATCTACCGACCTTATAACAGGAAGAAGACACAATATGCAGTCAAAAAGTCGCGATCCATATCCAAAGTATCTTCATGGCGAGACAAACGATTATACTGCATTCAGAAAGTGAATTTGTCACCAAGACCAACCGAAGTCGATTTAGGCACATTACCAGTTTGAAAAGAAACTATAAACTTCGTCACAGGGCACTTACTTTGAGTCATGACGAGGAAACTACACCGTTCACAAATAACCTAAGTATAATTTTTTAACATGACAACCCTACTTTCAAACAACGAAAACGAACATATTCACGATAAAATGTAACCTCACGTACTTGTGAGTATGAGCAGCGAAAAGGTTTTGAAAATGAGTAAATTAAATTAATTACATTTGAAGGACTGACTTTGTGACTTTCTATATATTATCTCATTAGTCACTCACTTATAACTGTCACTAGTGTGTTTTTTCTCTCTGCTTGAGACCCTCTGTGGTCCTTTAGTTTGTGTCATGGTACAGATGATGAATGTTCCATCGTCTTCAGGCTTTACAAAACCAATACGCAGGCTGCCGTTGGATGTTGGAGTGAATCGTCTCGGGTCTAAGGACTTTCCTCCTTTCTTACTCCAAGAAATCTGTGGACTTGGTGTTCCATCAGCACTACAGCTTATAATGCCAGACGTGTACGCAATAAAGGTTTGTTGGTCCAACGTCTTCTGAGTAAATCTTGCTGTTGAAAGCAGTAACGAAAAGCACTAATATCGTAGCTATACTGTTGAAAGGTCAGAAGTGCACTTGTCTTACATGACATTGCCCTGCATGTTAAGCCTATTTCTACAAGATAAAAAGATGTGTTTCCATACCATTTATGTAGACAATGTAATATTGAACATATTCCAATCTCTGGCATTCATATATTCCTCCATCAGACAGCTGCACATCATCAATGAACAGATCACCATTGTCTTTAGCCTTGATCCTTTCAGAAGTAGAGTTTGTTATTTCAAGCTTTCGCCCATTGATGACCCATCTAACGTAATTGGTTTTATTGTTTATAGAGCAATGAAGCTTTTCTCTGCTACCAATATCAAAATAGAGTTCATTTCTTTTCAACACATTCTTGTTCTCTGCAAAAAAAAAAAAAAATGGGTTCGGTGTGGAAGATGTCAAAATAAGTCAGATTCTGTGTAATCAACACTACAAGAAGAGAAAAGTTGAATATATTTACCTTTAATAAAGCTTAACTTGAGAAATTTTTGGAACTTTGTTGTACTTAAAACTAAGTTATATTACTCCAAAGAAAGTCATGTCAGCCATTACCAAAGTAATGTAACCTTTGAATAGAATTATATCGCATCCAAAAAAGGTTATGTCACCCGTTAAAAGAAATTAGGTAACCCTTAACTGAAGTCAAGTGATCTTATGAGCAGTCAGATTACATTCATGAAAGATATGCCAAGCTGAATCATCAATGAGGAGGGTAAGTTGCTTTCACTCCTACTATTTTGTAGCCCAATATGTCGTTATAATTTTGGTGTAGTTTTTTCGTGAAAATATATTTTAGTTTTCGAGAAATGATTTTTTCGTTCGACCGCTCAAATATGCAAATTTTCACCGTGAATATCACCCGAGTGCGTGACCTCATGTAACGAATTTACTTGACCTCCGATATTTCTGTCAACATAATCTTTTTTCATCATCGAAACTTAATCCCTCTCAGTATTGAAGCTAGCAAAGAAATATTTATTTTTTGGTAAATATTTTTGTCCGACATACTTTTTCTATGTCGAAAAGTAGCATCAAAACAAAGACAGTTTCAAAAATGACCGATATAACAGAATCTGCTGATGGTTATAAAGTTACTGTAAAAATTTCCTTGTGTATTTGTGTTGTTCTATCGTGAGACGAACTCAACGTCCGGCAAAATTTGCTTACTTGTCGCCACCGTTTATTGGCATAAATCACTACAATTTGTAAAAAAAAATCGAACATAACACTCTTACCTTGTTTACTTATGATTTTTTAAGACCAAGAAGCTGTTTCGGTTACTATATTACGCTTCGGTATTACTTTTTGCCAGGAGCCCAGGTTTTAAGTTGTGTTTTCCCCTACCCCATTTATATCATAAGCTAGTCACGCAATAATTGATCCCAACAAAAATGAATATTTACCCTGTATGAAGATTTTTGTTTATGTTGAATTGACAATATTTGAATGTGTCACTTTTGTGGCTACTAATCGTTGTTTCAGTAGCGGCGTAGCAGTTAAAAGCGGGTTACTGGGTGCTGACAGGGTGTGTATTGACCAATTCCCAATCGAGACCTAAGTCTGACGGAACGCGTAATTTTGCACAAGGTGGTACAGTGAATTTTCCAGACGTCTTGCGTACTATCTGTGATACATGCTTGCCAATTCTCCAATCAGCTTTTGGAATCGACTCAACCCTACCTTTACCACGGCCGTACACTTCTTTAGGCACCCAACACCGGTACCGATATTTGATCTACGAGTGGGGCAGATTGTGAAATTATCGGTATCTTTTGGTGTCTCGAAGATGCCGGCTCGCGACAAAATAAGATTAACTTCAGTTTCTGGATCTCCGCAAGTGACTTGAAATGTCTTTTTTACAACTACGCAAGGGAACGACCTGAGATATGCAACGTCGGTCTTCTCGATAACGATACCCAAAAGTCCCACCAGCGAACGATTTAAATGAACAGCAAATCTCCATGTTGGCATGTAAGATGAGACGCTTACACAACAGAACAATTAACTAAATCAGTATGGAGCTTGTCAATCGAATTGACTTTTGTGAACATTCTTTGACTTCCACCGGCAAAGGAACCATGGATGGATCTGGATATTTTAGTTTTCTGAATACAGTAATTCTTGGAAGGTTTTTATAGATATGCAGATATGCAAAGAGGGGAAAAAAACCTATCTCTTGGTAATTCGGAGGTTGACTCATCCTTGAATTTATGTGTCACGCTTGTCATGCAACTGATATAATAACGTGGAGAAGATTTTAAATCTGGCTAAAATGAGGTAGGGCATAATTTGATCATCGAAACAGCTAATAAAGTCATAAATAAATAGGGTAAGAGTGTTATGTCAGATATTTGTTTACAAATTGTTGTGATTTATGCTACTAAACGATGGCGACAAGTAGGCAAGGGCCTGTTTAGATGGAGGTGGGGGACCCCAGGTAGGTGAGGTAACCCGCCTAACCGTGGTCGAAAAATAAAACGCGTTTACATGCAATCTTAAAACCCCGGGGTGCTGGGGTGAGGTTTCTTGAGGTTGTTGTTGCGCTTGCAATTAGGGAGTCTACCCAGAGGTGTCCCAAGCTCACATCTCGAAAAAGATGGAAAATTAATCCTCGCTCACAAATGTATTTGTTCATGAAAGCGTCACACGTTGTATTACGCGGTGTTTGGTTTCGCGAGGAACCGTTGACTTAATACTTTAAACGGAATATTTTGGGAACGCTAAATATTTCGAAATGTGAACATTTTACACTCCTTGTGTGTCCGTTACGGTTTCTGATGATTTCTGCCATGAGACGGCTAGGGTATGTACAAAGTTTTAAAACATACATATTTCGCTTTTGAGCTTTTTGTCATGAACGCTACCCCGGCTAGGCGGGTTACCCCGCCTTGAGACGTTTACATAGCAAATTGCTGACAGGGTTACCCTACCTACCCCACCTATCATGCAAACGTGATCAAAATAAAACAAGAAATTATATTGACAGGCGACCTGAGGTCCCCCACCTCCATCTAAACAGACCCTAAATTTAATGCCGGACTTTGAGTTCGTCTCACGATAGAACAACACAAATACACAAGGAAATTTTTACAGTAACTTTATAACCATCCTTTTGTCTTTTAAAAGCTAGAAGCTCAGTAAATTCTGTTATATCGGTCACTGTCTTTGTTTTGGTGCTACTTTTCGACATAATAAAAGTATGTCGGACAATTATCTAGGACATATTGGGCTACAAAATATGAAAGTCGGAGAGAAAACGAATTTTGGCGACTTGCCACAATATTTCAAATTTGTTCTATGGATGCTGACATCCTCTCTTAAGAAACTGTGGTGCTACGTCCGTGGGGGAGTATAACACCCGCCATGACAAAGGGCTAACGCTCGAAATTCAGCTTTGAAACTCTTTACGGGGGCAAATTAACATTATCAACTCGGTTGATAAAATCAAAATCATCTGAGTCATTTTTACCCTAAACTAAACTAAGTCATTTTATCCCCAGTCGATGTCATGTCGCTATCTTGAGCGTAAAGTCTGCGAACAGGTATATGCTTGTCCGCAAGTCATACTTTAGCAGAATGTTTTTAGAAATGGTCTTCTAGTCATCTGTGTATCTCAATTTACTCTGATTTCCCTCTACTTTAGAAGGTCAATGGCAAGAAGAAAAATAACCACGAAAACCAGAATACCTAATCAGACCAAAAAATTTAGTTGCTTACTTGGTTGACACAGCGCTTGAGAACCCTTGTCATCCGACTGACATTGAGGTGGAATATTTAACTTTCCATCGATGCGATCGCATGATGCAAGTTCAAACTCTTCCCCGGTGCAAGAGACATCGGACATTGCAAAAGGTATTCCCTCAGCCTTTATGTCTGACCCAATGAATTCCGCCAAAGCCTCTTCAAAGCCAAGTTGACGACAAATAACTTTGACATCATTAAAGTCCCATTTATTCCTACATATCTTTGCCCATTTCCCCTTGTAAAACACTTCCACTCTTCCTCCATACTCCACATTTGCGCCATTCAAGCGAACAGGAACTTATGAAATTACAAAAAGTTCAATCCGTTAAGATGGAAAACACTAATTATCATGAATCAAGAATGCCTATAAATCATGAAATGATAAATAGCTCACGCCTGTCTAAGTGTTTTTAAGGGAAATTCGGGTGCAAATCATTCAGTATTCGAACGTTGGCCGCATCGTTCGTTGTCACGATATGGTTTCCTTGCTGCAATGTTTTACGACAAACCTCTTTTTCATTGCTTCGTGACTGCGTTTTAAATTGTAAAATTAGATGTTTTTTCAACAATTTTGGAACATTCAAGACGTGTTTTCTTTGCCTTCGTAGAACACAAAAGGGTGATTTACATTTTAAACAAGAAAGTCATTTTAAAGCATTTCTCACGGAATAATCAAGAAAAAGGCGTTTAGTTAAGTATAAATAGGGTGAAAAATTGTGAAATTCCCTAGTTACACGAGAGAGAGAGAAAAAAGGAAACTAGAAGGATGCAATAGTTTTAAGGAAACTTGGTGAAGGGTTTGGAGGTTATGAAGTTCGTGAAACCCAAATGCATAACTGCGCAGCTAGGTTCTTCTTTCGGCAGTAATTCAACTATAATCGTCTTAGGGTGTAAACAATAGAAACCCGCTACATTTTTAGCGATAGATACCTTTTAGAACCTAAAAGATACCTGAAGATGAACAATCATTGATCTCGGAAAAATTTTCTTATCTGGAGTGTGAGTAAATCTATCAAGTTACCATCTTTGGAGATCATGTGGATATTACATGAGTGCAATTCATTATTACCTTTGCAAAATTGTTGTTTCTTTTCCAAGTTGTTTTGACATGTGGTGGGAATGGTACAGTTGTAGTGAGTGGACATCTCTGAGGAATTGCCACGTTCTGCGTACCTTGTGTCATTAGCATACACAGCGTTGCTATAGTAGCCCATGGCCATGCAGGTTGAATTTTCATCTGCGTCATCCCATTGACTGGTACACAGCTTTTGCCAGCTGCTGTTTGAGAATATCTTCATTGTACCGACAGATGGGTTCTTCTCTGTTTCAAAACGCAGGGGAAATTCTTCAAATATTAAAAAAAATTGACAAATAAGGATAACAATAAACAGCGTGAACTACTTCAGCATAGGTAAGTTCTTGTGTTGATGATGTCCCCATATAATTACCCTAGTAACAGCAGTCCTTGCATTGTTGAAAGATTTCTTTTCAGTTAATGGGGGAAGAATTTCCTTTTAAGCTAATATGATTTTCTTTGCCAGCAGGTCAATGCCAAAATGTTATTAATAACTGAGGCTCTCGCATTTTTAAACATTAGATGATAGTTAGCACTACCGGATTAGCTAAAAAGGTATTGCTTACGGGCAGTCCAACAAAATTCGTAATCGCCATTGCGCTGATAGTGCAGACTTCTTACAGAGCGACCACAAATATCAGCGAAAGCTTCTTCCAAGAATTTAGTACCTATATTGTAGTACTAATGGTAGTGGAGATTTGTTTTGTTTCTTTCAAGAAAAGCTTGGTGAATTCCATACATGTACAAAGTTTGTGCATTTATGAAGGATTTCTGACTTATAATGAACTCCTGACTTTTGATAATTTGTGCATTTCATATACTTTGCGTGGATGATTATGTGATTAAAGTTCAACCTTAGCAGTTCCATTCATTTGTTGTTATTATAGCTTTTATTCCTGAATTAGTTCATTTTTGTTTCAACAAAGAAGTTTTCATCCACTGAAATCAGAAAGGCTACAATTTGTATGCTACCTTCTTGGCAACTGGACATGTTGCTACATTCTCTTAGCATTGCTCCGGTCCCATCGCAGTGTTTCCCACCATGTGCTGGTTCTGGATTGGTGCATTCTCTCTGTCTTGTTTGTATACCACCAACTGGTTTGGTACAGATACTCCAGGAGCTCCACTCACTCCAGCCACCATCCACTAACAATGTTGTAAACAGAAAAATTTGATAAGCAACCACAGACGACATTTTCGGATCATTTAACAAAACAAAGTATGTAGGACAGTGGTGCAGTCTTTATTTCTACCTTTCTCTATAATTACTTTGAATGTTTATGTTAACATTTGGTTACGGTAAACTCATTAATTTGGTATTTGGCGCGATGCCGTAGGGTTTGCAATAAACTTATCGAGACACGCTTGTGAGAGCAAAAACATAATTTGAAGGCGATAATGCGATGGGGAATCCGTGCCGGTCTGTCTTTACCTTTATTCCCATGTTGATGGTTTCCAGACAGACCCCGTCCTTTATGTGCAAATACTCTGGCGTGCATAATCAGTTAATGTACAAATGCACAATACACAAACTTTAGTTTAAAAACAACATTTTAAGCCCTCTTTTTTAGGGGGAACGAAAACAAACACAACGGGAAACCGTAACAAATTTCAATTATGAATCTCAGTAGCTTTTCAAGCGAATTATGCAGCAGAAAAGGCCTTCCTAAAAACTCAGTCTCACCTTCAGATCAGGTAAAATCGAAATTGTCTGCTTCTTATTGGTTCCCTAACCAACATCAAGGATCAATAGGAATAATGGGAACTCGATCCTCAAGCCTAACGATCTACGTATAAAAAGGTCACAGAAGCAATTCCCACTCGGGAACGGAATTGAGAACACCACTCTACCTTTCCCTGAAAGACCTCGCTATTACAACACTATCTTCAAACTACAGCTGAAGAGACTCGTGAAGTGTCGAAACCGTCGATATTGTTGTAGCCACTGTGAACAATTGCACCAATGTCCGCCTTTCACAACTCTCTAGCGGAATAACTTTTACAAAGTCTTGGTGGAGAAGACGAAAACAATATCTCACAAGAAAAAACATGTAAATAGGCAAACGCTCAAAGGAAAGCACTCGGCGAACATTATAAAAAAAACAATGAAAAAATAGCCAAATTAAGGAATGAGATTTATGACTTTAAAGAGCTTATTTATACACTCGCAAATAAAATAGATGGAAAATATAAGTGTGCTTGTTAAGCAGTATATACTATCTAGATATACGATGAATAAACACGTGGGCAGACATTATGAATTAATTTATTCTCACCCCCAAGCACGCGTTGATACGGGAACTTTAGAATGTGATGCAATCATGTGCGAGTAACGCAACGGTGACATGACATCCCCCCTCGTCAAAAGAAATATATATATATATATAGACACATATGCAAATATAGACAAATAGTGCCTCCGAAGTCTAAGACAAATTAATGTGACCCATTGTTCAGTAATAATAAGATAATACCAAGAAAAAGAAGAAAAATGTTCCAAAAGCAAGGCACTGAGGATATGGAGTGCTCTTGTGAGGTTGCACTCTGTTAGCCCACTTTCTAGTAAAGTTCGTAGTCATTAAACTTCTTTGGCTCCCAGGATATCGTCTATTAGACAACTTACTGGGATGCCGGGGTGGGCAAAGTGGGCTTTGGTGGGCACGACGATGGTGGTGGATTGAGTGTTTATCAGCTGGTCCAACTCATAGAAATCACTGCAATAGTCTACGGTGACTAGATACTGCTTATGTTGGAACTCAAATATGTCCTGCGAGATGAACAGCCGAGGTCGTGTAGGGACAGGATGGGATAGTATGGTCAGTGGCGGCTTGCTTTCCACACTGGGAGCAGGTAGGGCAAACTAAAAACATGCTTATATGTGATACGAAGGCAATATTCTGCTCCCCTATGGTAGTAGTGGTTTTTGCTCAGCATACTTGGTCTGAGAGAGGTAGGAATGATGGCGCGAGTAGACTTAAGAAGAATATCATTTACAATTCTGAGTTCTTCGCGAACCGTTGAGGGGGTAATGCTGCAGCTAGTGCATGTCAGGGCATGATGATGTGGCATTGCGTAGTTGCTCGCGAGTGGTATTGGTGAGGGCCGTTGAGGTGGGGTCCAAGCGAGCAAGATGAACGTGAAACACACGGAAGGTGTCCGACATGGATGGGTTGACGGCTTCGTCTTGACATGGGGCTCTGGATACGGTGTCTGCTAAATGCAAGAGAGAACCTTTTTTGTACACAAAAGTAAAGTTGTAACACTGTAGGAAAAGCAACATCCTCTGCAGACATTTAGGCGCTAAGGCGAGGTCCTTCTTGAAGATCAACTAAAGGGGTTGGTGGTCTGAGTCCCAAAAGCCATTGCTCAAATGTGTTGAGGGCTTCAACAATAGCCAGGCACTCCTTTTCGATTTGCGCATAGCGCTTCTCGGTAGTGGTTAGGCCTTTTTCTGTACGCAATAGGTCGCAGAGAAAACTCGTCAAGGGCGCTGCTACTGAGGGGTTTGATGGGTTGTAAGAGGGCAGCTCCTTGGCCATAGTCTGAGGCGTCGATGTGTATCAACCAGCATCTGCATAACTCACTCGATTAATCGTGAGAGTGTTTTTGTCACCAAGATTCAACCCATCCTTAGTCCAGAGTATCTCAGGTGAAGGGGAATCGCTTCGAGAGAATTTGAACTGAAGGGGTGATTTATATGTAACCGATTGATTCTTGAGCTCAGGATTAATTTAATGTAAATTGACCACCATAAAGATTTTTAAAGCTGACGTTTCGATCGTTAGCCCCTGGTCAGAGCTAAAACTCGAAATATGAGCTTGGAAACTACTAGCGGTGGCCAATCTACATTACCAACTCGGTTGGTAAAACCAAAGTGTATTTTACAAAGAGTTTGGAAGTTAATAAAGGGACAGTCGACCAACAAATGGGTCCTTTACTTTCCCCTCATACATGAGACCACTTACAATGACAAGGCCGTGATTCCTGAGTTCTTGAGCAGTCAAATTCTAGAAGTAAGATTATCCAGGTAATCTTTTAAAAGTAATAAATGATTGGAGATTAAGTCATCTCATTTCTGTTAGAGAGAACATCCATTGAGAAAAACTGCTGAAGGTTCCTGCCTAATTATTATTGCAATCTATACATAAGAATTAATTCAATTGAATAGAGGCTTATAAATGCTGTATAGTTTTTTGAAGTTGTAAAGTAATGGCGAAAACCTGCCATTGCACTTTCGGGTCACAAAATTCTAAAAAACTCCCTCTTGTCACTTACCGACTCTTTGCCGGTACTGGATACCGCACACTTTGCAGACACTCCAAGATGACCACGCCATACAACCTTTGAAAACAATAAGTTGCGCGCAAAGAGTCATATGTCATACTATCACTCTACCTATGCCCTTTACTTCCTTTGCTGCATTAATCTCAGCTTGTCATAAAGGATACCAAAATACGTAATTATTAGGGTCGATATCCCCAGTTTTTAATTTCGGAGGAGACTTCGAACTAATATCTCCAAGTTAAAAAGATTGATGGCTTGAAGCTTATACTTTACCCAACTTACAGTTCCCTATTTATAAGCATCATTGGTGTTCTCTCAACATCTGTCTGGGATTTATTATGTTATAAGCCAGGGAGAGTGACAATGTTTTCTGTTGCTCAAATGGGTGACTGTGCAAAAATGTTAAAAGAAACAAACTAGGATTTTAACGTTTTCAATTTTTAATTTCAACTTTACTGTAAAAGTTCCACCAGTATATGGCAGAAGCCTGAAGCGTTGAAATTCAATTGTAGTAACAATTAAAAGTTTTATTTCTATGCAACATCTTTGTCCAAATATCCACTGATCCACAGAGAAGAGTATCCTGTCGGTATCCCTCTCTGAGATCCATTCGTTTGTTAAACCATCTTTATCGACCCTTTATCCTGCCTACTGATAAATGATAGTTCAAGCATGGCTACTTACAATCTGTTATATCAGTTAGGATGAGGATGTTAGGTGAACATGAAAAGAAAGATTCACATTCGGTGAGTAAATGATTGGCCAAATATAGCCTTGGAATACTTGACTACACACATCATAAGCTTAACAAATAGACTGAACTCGTCGCACTCACCCGCTTATGAATCCGGAAAGAATGACGTGAAAGAGAAAAACAGTTTTGAAAAGATGTTAATCCGTTTATCTATTCATTTTTTTTATTTGAACCAACCAGTTTGTTTGGTACGTCAATATTTTACATTGAAATCGATAATTGAAATCGACAGAATTGGTTAAATCAAACAAACAATCAGCCAAAATGACTGATATCTGATGATAATTATGCAAATATCGTTTATAAGAGAGATATAATAATACTGCCACATCAATAAAATCGTTTTGATGGTAACATTTTAACAGTAACAGCTATCACTAACTGTCATTGATATACACCCACATATTCTCCTCCTCTATTTACGATTTCAATTTGCTGGTCAGTCAACAGGTAGTGCAGAGAGCCGATGTGTGTTGAGCCACAGGAGGGTTCTTTATTTATAGGAACAGATGATATTGATAGTTACCTTCCTCTTTGGCTAGGCAGAAAAGATGAGATAAGAAAGGAGGAGCAGTTAAAGATGTCAATAACGTAGCTTGAGTTATGGAATAACAATCCATCGTCCACTCTAACCCACTTTTTGGAAAGGAGTTAGGATTCAATTCTTTCTCAACACATGGAAAGCGAGCATTAGCGCCTAAATTTACATTTCCCAGAGAAGGATGTAATGTTGAAAAAAGGTACTCAAGAATCTGAAAGATAACATTGTCAAGGATGGGTTGCCTTTCCAAATCTCTGTTTAAACTTTTTCATGCCGGTTTCGCATTAAGGGTTTGTCTCATTTTATGCGTCGTATGACAAGCTCTTCAATTACTTGTGTTAAACTTTGTTTTACTTCTGTTCTGCGTTTGTCAAGCCTTATAATGATCCTAAGTTAGACACTGCGAACTGTTTTGTTTGCGGTCTTCGACGAGATTCAGTCGCTATCAAAAAGAAGAAAAAGTTAGATTACTGAAACGAATGTTCCTCGTCAGCGGTCACCAGCAGATCAGAGGATGATGGGCCAGTTATAGAAGTCTTTTAATAAAAATATACCGAAAGCTCGCGTTGAGCTCAAAATTCGAAATAAAGCGTAAAATAAACTTGACACATATTGA